GCATCGAGCAAGCTGGCCTGCAGCCGTTTTGTCTTCCAGTGTTGTTAGCACAACTTTAAAATAGAATTTAATGGCCCCAAAGACCTAGGCTTGGAAACTGCGTTTCACAGGTATGGGAAAAAGAAAAAAGCATTCTAGATTTTAGAGATATACTTTGTGGTTTAGTTATGGAGCCGTGTCCGACTCTTTGTGACCCCCATGAGAGCCGTGTCCGACTCTTCGTGACCCCATGGACTAGAGCACGCCAGGCCCGCCTGTCTTCCACTGCCTCACGGAGTCGGGTCAAATTCATGCTGGTCACTTCAATGACCCTGTCCAGCCATCTCGTCCTCTGTCGTCCCCTTCTCCTCTTGCCTTCACACTTTCCCAACATCAGGGTCTTTTCCAGGGAGTCCAAAGATGTACTACAAGCCATTAATTTTTCGATTTGTGTGATATGGAATCACAAGGCATGCCTGCACATGCGCACAACCATATTTGGGATGCCTCTCTGGAATGCTGTTGGAATGACAGAAGGTGGCCTAAAGGAGAAGATTTGCTTCTCTGGGAGAAAAAAACAGAGCAGGCAGGAAGATCCAGAATGAATAAGGGCTGGTGCTAACAGATGTCAATATGAGACAGAATAGTCCCGGTCTGCACGGAAGCCCCTTAAAGGCCTTAGCTTCTGATATTTTTGATGTCCTTTTCATCTGGGGTACCCCGACCTTGCGTATAAAGCAGAGCCAGCTGTGTTGACCCTATACAAAGCCTAACGTCTAGATTCCATATCTGGACGATATTCTATCAGACTTCTTCTTTTTTTTGCTGGACCTGATTGGGTATCAGCTTTCTACATCGGAATCCTTTCTGCAGGCGTCTTGTTACAAATGGCAGGGAGTGGAGATGATGGCGGGGAGCGGGGGGGGGAAGAGAAGGGGCAAAATAAAGTAAAGTAAAATGTTAAAACAGACCAGATCTTAATGCCTTTGTCTCCCCCTCCTGTCCTAGCTGTGGTGGAGTGTAAGTGTGTGTGTGTGGGGGGGGGTTTAAACCGCAGATCTCCAAAAATTCCTGTCTCAATGACCTACGGCTTGTGCTGGATGGAGGCAAGAAGTAGCCGCAAGTTGGTCTAATTTAGGATCTGGTCGCCTTTAATTTTATTTTTCTTTGCTTCGTTGTCTCTCCCTCTCCCTGCCACTCTCTTCCCAAAGGAGTCCACACGGACAAGGCCAGAACATTCCAGAGTGAAGTGAAACTGGAGACGCCGGGGATATGTTTGCACGTTCCTGTTTTCGAGGACTTTATGCTCTCCTGGCATTATTTGCAAATAAAGCAGCCACTGGAGAAAGGCGTGAAGTCTCCAGTTCCTGGCAAAAACTAAGCCCTGCAGTTTTGTGCTGGGAACATTTTACTGCTCTGAGTTGGGAAGGGAATGTGTCACATGAGCAGAAATGCAATGAATGGGAATTCAGAGAGCGTGTCTACACTATACAGTGGTGCCTCGCATTACGAGCGCTCCGTTTGACGACGAAATCGCTTTACGTCGATGTTTTAGCGATCGCAAAAGCGATTGCAAAACGATGTTCCCAATGGGGAAATTTCGCTTTGTGATGATCGGTCCCCTGTTTCGGTAACCGATCATCGCAAAGCGATGATTTTCGTACAGCTGATCGGTGGTTTGAAAATGGGCGCCGGGTAAAAAAAATGGCCGCCTGCTGTTTTCTGGCAGCCGCCAGGTAAAAAAATGGCTGCCCGCTGTTTTCAGGTATGGATTCCTCGCTGCACGGGCAGCAAAAATGGCCGCGCTATGGAGGATCTTCACTGGACTGTGAGTTTGAAGCCCCTAGGAACGCATTAATCGGGTTTTAATGCGTTTCTATGGGCTTTTTAAAATCGCATGACGACGTTTTCGTTTTACAGCGATTTTCGCTGAACGAATTAACGTCGTCATGCGAGGTACCACTGTACACTGGTATCACTTTGGTTCTGGACTGACTGGTGTGGCTTCGGGTATCGATTTGGTTCTGGACTGACTGGTGTGGCTTCGCCCCATTGCATCCTGGGGTTTGTAGTTTGGGGAAGGACCTTGAACTCTCTGCTGGAAAGCTCTTTTTCACTTTCCTTAATTACAGTGGATCATTCTTAATATCTTACCAAATTAAACAGTCCTTAAGATGGAGCAATGATGGGTAAAGCCGTATTGAAACTGATATCACTGTTATATAGTCTAAAATGAAAAAAAGAAAGGGCTGGCGTGAATCCAAAGATTACACAAATGCAAGAGGTAAATGATACCACTGAAAATAAAGAAAATACCAGGCTTCTGTGGATGAAATCCACTTCCTCAGACAAAATAAAGAAAATAGCAAGCTTCTGTGGATGAAATCCACTTCCTCAGACTGTAAACACACAGACACGCCCTTTATGGATGGATTTCATCCATGAAAGCTTGCCATTTATTTTATTGCTTGTGGTTTCCAAAAAAGGTATCTCCAACTCTTGCGTTTGTGATGCCACAGTGTAAAAGAGGTCAGCTAGCAAAGCTAAAAGGGAGGAAAGAAAATAGCAAGCTTCTGTGGATGAAATCCACTTCCTCAGACTGTAAACACACAGACACGCCCTTTATGGATGGATTTCATCCATGAAAGCTTGCCATTTATTTTATTGCTTGTGGTTTCCAAAAAAGGTATCTCCAACTCTTGCGTTTGTGATGCCACAGTGTAAAAGAGGTCAGCTAGCAAAGCTAAAAGGGAGGAAAGAAAGAAAATGAGAGGGAAAGGATACAAATATTGTGGCACCTGAAAGATAAGCAAATTTGTTTCTGTGTGAGTTTCTGTGGATCAAAATCCACTTCTTTAGAGACATACTTTATTTTAAGGTAAAGGTTCCCCTTGACATTTAGTCCAGTCGTGTCTGACTGTAGGGTGCAGTGCTCATCCCCGCTTCCAAGCCATAAAGCCAGCATTGGTCCATAGACAGTTTCCGTGGTCACGTGGCCAGCGCGACTAGATATGGAACACCGTTACCTTCTCACCGAGGTGGTACCTATTTATCTACTCGCATTTTTACATGCTTTTGAACCGCTCGGTTGGCAGGAGCTGAGACAAGCAATGGAAGCTCACTCCGTCACGTGGATTCGATCTAACGACTGCTTGGTCTTCTGACCCTGCAGCACAGAGGCTTCTGCAGTTTAACCGGCAGCGCCACCACTTCCCTTTCTCTTAGTGCCCTGTAAAAGATGTCATTGTGTCTATTTTAAGGCAGAAGTCACACACAACGAGAGAGCCACTTATGCCTAAGGGCATAATAGCTGGTTGCTTCCCATTAGAATGGGTAGTTTTTGAACATCAACTCCCATAGAATTTTCCAGCCAGCATGTCTAATAGAGAATTCTGGGCAGTGTCGTGGTTTTTTTTGGGGGGGGTGGTTTGGTAATCTGCAATCTACTGTACTATTTCTCTCGTACACCATCACCACTGCCCCCACCCAGGCCAAAATCCCTGACTGACAGAAAATCCAGGCCCACCCTCCGTCTAAAACTTTTCTGGTTCACAGCCAATCCCCGAGACACCAGCCCTCTCCGTCATTGTATTTTTAGGAATGAGAACCTGCTCAACTAGGTTTTTTGTTTTTTTTTTGGTCAAACTCAGCAACCAAGAGCTTCAGCAGACAGTGTTGGAACCTGCTCCTGCGCTTAAGTAACACTTAACAAAAGGAACAAACCTATTACAAGGCCTGGCGCTGGGCCGAAAACACCCTTGAATGCCGCAGCGCTGCGAAGAATAGGCCAGTAATCCAGGGGGTGGAGGAAACCTGGATTCTGTTCCGCGCTCATTCTCATGCGTGCCCTGTGGAGCATGAATGCCTTTGGCACGGGAACAAACAGCGGGCACGGCTCCCTTTTAGGTCAGGGAGAAACACACCGCCTGTCCCGTTGTGGAAATGGAGTCGGCTTTGCAAAAAAAGCGGAGAGGTAATGGCAGGATCAAAGGCGGCTCAGCTCTTCTCGCCGGTGGGAGCAGCTGAAGATGAGATTTGGAAGCCTAGCCCCTTGATCACAGATGGCTTGTTGGTAGGGTAGTGGCTGACCCCCTGCCTTTGGTCCCAAGGGAACATTTTTATCCCTGTTTTAAAAACGTTTGCCTTCTTGGACTAAACCTCTTCAAATCGCTAGTCAGCCTGGCCAGCGAGACGGTGATGTCTTTCCCTGTGGAATTTGGTGGGAGCTCATGAGAACGAGCACATCAACGCTGGCAAACCCCCACCTCTTCATTTGTGTAGCCTGTCCTTTTTTTTTCTTGGCTGAACCCAGAACCAAAGCAACAGCAGATATGTGGGCTGGCCAGTAGCAGAGGGCATTCTGTTTTGGGTTTTTTAAAACTGCCCGGAGATCAATGCAAAAAAAGACCAGACGCATCCTAAGAGCAGGTTCTTACCGCATCTGCCGCCTGGTGCATTCAAAGCCGCTAATCCCATGTCAAGGTAGAAAGGATACGGTCCATCCTACCACCGCTGGATCCTAACCTGGCGCTGCGGCTGTGCATGCACAGCATAGGCCGGGCTCCTTGGTCTTGATGGCCAATACAATTTCCTTCTTGACCAGTCACTTGACCACATCACTAAGGTCAGGGCAGGCTGCCTTCTTTCTGCTCCAGGGAGGTGGATTGCTGACCATCCAGTCTTATCCCGCACCCGCCTCTACCTTCCCATTTTTTGAAATGGAGCTAGGTTTCCTGAAGCATGCCGCAGTGGTGGTCTGCCCTTTATGGATAAAACCCTTTAGGAGAAAGATGGCTCATCTATATATATTTTACATCCATCCATCCATCAGGAGGGAGGGAGAAGAAGCTAGTGCTCTTCGTTTTTTGGGTGATGACCACTGGTTAGGGATTCTGAGAGGTGTCATTAAAAACACACACAGACATGTTTCCAAGTTTTGCATCTGACTTAGAGTTTTAAACTCTTCTCCTCCTGAAAGCACTCGTGGTGAGGTTTAACGAAAATGTTGCATTTGTCCACAGGCAGTTCTCCGGTCAGTTGCCGGCCAGAGAGGCCAACGAACGGAACGGTGGCTGCGGAGTTTCACCAAAGAAGTGCAAACTCTCAGACGGAAACGCCCACGATGAGCCGAGCCTCCCCCAAGCGGTTCGCGCAGCGCAGGAAGATGGAGGTAGACCACCTGCGAGGCACGGCTCCTCAACGGTTGTGTCCTAGAGCTGCATCGCCAAGTGCCCTGCAGTTCAGGAAGCTGCCTATGACCCCCAAAGAGGCTCACGTGCCCCGAATAGAGCCGCTGAATCAGGACGCGGACAATGAGGTTTATGAAAGCATCTGCGATGAAGCAAGAGATCCAGGTGCTGGGGTTTGCATGGAAAGTAGGAAGGGCGCTGATTCAACAACCAGGGGACGGCCAAATTCTGCTGGAGAGGGGGCCCCCTCTGCAGAATCCACAGAATCGGCTGGAATGACGGTAGCATGTGGTAGCACAACAGGGCAGCCGGCGGCCCACTGGCAACACATTGAGTTCCCTAGCGAATTGCCGGGTGTGGCAAGTGAGCAAGGGGCTCCACATCCAGTAGCTCCGGATACCGAGAAGCGGCTGAGCGCCATGTATGCCCGAGTGCGCAAGAGGCCCAAGGCGTTTCCGCAGCAAGAGCCTGGAAAGCCCGCAGAGCAAGAAGTGGAAGAGGAACCGCCACCTATTCCAGAGAAACATTTTGAGGATATCTATGAGAGTCTGAGCGTTGATGCCGTGGGGCAGGTAAGCTACCTGGCAGGAGGGTGGAGGATACTTGTATAAAGCCCAAGGGAGCAACGGGAGGGGCTTAGATGTGTGACACAAACTGCTGATGGGCACGAAGCGCTGGTTCGGCGGTTTGTGCTGGTTCGTTTAGTGGCCGAACAAGTGTCCAGCATTTTCCCGCTCTGCCTCCGCTGGCAGGTGGCCACTCAAGAGTCAGCGTCCACTGGGGCCGCTGTCTCTGAGTCGGCACCCGCTGGAGGATGCAGGGCTGGGAAGCACCAACCACCCGTTTGGCCAATAAATGAACCGGCACAAATCACAAAGCCCTGCAATTCATGCCCATCCCTCGTTACTACAGCAGATATGTCCCAGATGCAGAACCACGCAGAGAAGGGCTTTTACCTGGCACTATGCTCCAATGATAACTCAAAAATGCAACTTTGCACATTTCAGTGTTATATGTTTGTGTCTGTGGATCATGTATGCTGGAAAAATTTTTATTGGACTGGAGCTTGAATATGTTAGGGTTTTTTTTTAACTACAAAGCACAGAATCCCCTAACCAAAATGAAACTGGACACATTGGCTGAAATCCTGTTGCTTAGCATGACAAATGGTGTGACACCCAGTCTGTTTGCAGCCGGCAATTAAAGAGTCATCACTGCTGCAGTTCTAAGCAGGGTGTACGTGAGCGAGAACTGCAGGGCTGCATGCTCCAGTATCACAGTGGTGACTCTTTAATTGCTGGCTATGAACGGACTTAATATAATGCCTTTTATTAAACCGAGCAACAGACTTTTGGCCAGTGGGTATAGAACGGTTGGAGCTGCAGTGATGGCAGCAGGATTATTTAATTTATTTATTTAAAATAATTTTATCCCACCTTTGTCCTTAAAAAGGACCCAAGGTGGCAGAGGATTCTGGGAGCTGTAGTCCTGCAAAGTATAATTTCCAAGCTGTCTGTTGAATTGTTATGGTTTGCCACCTGCCTAAGAATCCTGGGAATTATAGTTTGATGAGCTACAGAACATGCTGAGCTCGAGATCCTTAACTGCCTCCTGTTCCTGACCCTCAACTAACGTTCCCACGGTTCCCTGGGAAACAGGGGATGACTGCTAATCCAGTTGATGTCTATAGCAGGGACATGCTTTTTGTCTTCTAATAAACCCCCTGAACTCACTTCAACCTCTGATTTGATTGATGCTTCTTGTGAGTTTCAGAGGCTAAAGGAAGCTGACAGCCTTCTGACAGCTTCTGGCGCAATCGGGGTTCCCGTCTTTCATCCTGGAATTAAGGTGTAATTGAAGAAACGATATAGCTGGCTTATCATGGCTGGGTGGAGCTCACAGTTTCACAGAGAGAGGCTGAGACCGGTAAATACCGCAGACAGGGTGGAAGCTGATCTTTTCTCATTGCTTGGGCAGTTTCTACCCTGGTGCCCTCCTATTGTTTTGATCTACAACTCCTATCATCCACAGATGTGATGAGATGATGGGAGTTGTAGTCTGAAATATCTAGCAGGCCTATAGCTAGGGAAGGGCATGGCAACTGCAACAATATGGTGCCCTCCATATGTGTTGCACTACAACTCCCATCTGGTCGGTCTGGACATTAACCACGATTAATGGTACTCGAGCCTTACTGAATGAACGTGAGTTTTCGCCCTTCAGTGTGGCTGTGTAGGCTGGAGTTTTGTGTTGTCTGCCCAGTCAATCACAACGGATGTTGGCTGTGCCTATAGCTCCCTTTCCCACAACATCAAGGGAATGAAAACGAGCGTTGCACTACAACTCCCATCTGGTTGGTCTGGACATTAGCCACAATTAATGGTACTTGTTATCAGGGTTAGGGCGAGCCTTACTGAATGAACGTGAGTTTTCACCCTTCAGTGTGGCTGTGTAGGCTTGAGTTTTGTGTTGTCTGCCCAGTCACTCACAACGGATGTTGGCTCTGCCTATAGCGCCCCTTCCCACAACATCAAGGGAATGAAAACGAGGTCCTTTATTTGCCCCAGTGAGTGAACGCTGTAACCAGAGATGCCCTGTTTAAATCTCAAACACATAAACAGGGAATACAGTCCATGAAATGAAGACACAATGTTTTAAAAAATCAAAGGAAAATCAATGGATTTCTGACAAAATACAGTGCAATGATGAGATGAATGATATGAAGCAAAACAATAATCCAGAACTGGCCATGGTAAAGGTTCCCCTTGACACTTGGTTCAGTCATGTCCGACTCTTGGGTGCGGTGCTCATCCCCGTTTCCAAGCCGTAAAGCCAGCTTTGGTCCGTAGACAGTTTTGTGGTCACGTGGCCAGCGCGACTAGACACAGAAAGCTGTTACCTTTCCCACCGCGGTGGGATCTATTTATCAACTCGCCTTTTTACGTGCTTTCGAACGGCTAGGTTGGCAGGAGCTGGGACAAGCGACGGGAGCTCACTCCATTGCATGGATTCGATCTTTTGACGGCTGGTCTTCTGACCTTGCAGCACAGAGGCTTCTGTGGTTAAACCCGCAGCTCCACCCATGTCCCACTGGCCATGGTTTAGCCCTTTTTGTGTTTGCCCCTAGCCTTCCACCAGCCCTCCAGTCAAAGCTCACTATGATCAGCAATGATAGTCCTAAAGATTGATTCCCTCATCATCTTCTTCTCCATGTGCTTTCTTTTTTTTCCCCTTCAGGATGGCATGAGGACAGAACTGACAGTCCCTTCAGAGGCTTGAACACTTCAGGGAGCTGAGAGGCAAGTCTCCAGACCAGGCCAGGATCCTGCAGTGGCTTCTTCTGGGCTTCTCTCTCATGGGGACAGGGAAACTGAGGCACAGAACCTCAGCCGTCACAAGGAAACGGCTCAGGAACTGGGTTCCCTTTCGCTCCTGAGGGCTACCTTTGGGAGGTGGGTGATGTGGCCAGCGGGGGTCCTGTTGCCCTGATCGTGCTGTGATGTGGACTTCTCTGAGTCACCAGCGGTTCGCCCCAAGAATCACACAGGAGTGTGTTGTGGTGTTTAAGGGAACAGGCTGCACCTCCTTCTTACTTCCGAATAAGGGGACGAAGAGACAAAGGACCAGCTTTGCACTTGAAAAGCGCTAAAACGTTTTCCCTTCTGAGATGCATTCTCCAAAGCTGCTGTGGGATAGCAGTCTGAATTGGAAATGAAGCCCTTGCTTATCTCCTGAGGACCAGTCACAAAAGATGAGCAAGCAAATCCACCAGGATTCCCAGTGTGGTGTGGTGTACTGAATAGTGACGGACCAGGACTCTGGGGAACCGGGTTTGAATCCCTGCTCAGCCAGTAGAACTCACTGGAACAGTGGAACTGGTCGGACTAACCACTGACCTTGAAAGCCCTATTAGGGTCTCTTTAGGTCCGTTCTCCAGATCATCAACAGCCTTCTCGTCTTGCTTCTCATCTGTAAAATGGACATAATAAAAGGGTGCCACCTTGAATTGCCCTGGAGACAACAGTAGTGAGATTTGGGCATTACCTGGACATGGCTTGAATTCACCTCCAGGGTGTTGCAGGGAGAAACCCACCCATCTAGAACTTTTAAAGAATATGGAACCTGAATCTTTTGCCAAAGATCTTCAAATCCAACGCCGCCCACTTAGATGAGACGTCTGCTATTCCCTCTTAATAACCGTGATCCCAAAGTCATCCTTCATTCATGGTTGGGAAAATAGTCATGCCTTATCTGTTTTGCCGCTTCTGGGTGAACTTTAGAAAACACATCGAAATACATAAATTGGTGGCAGTTTTCCACCCAGCGGGTTGCCCTGCCCCCCAGCATGCCTGTCTCAATGAAGGCATTGTCTTCTGCCCTAATTCCCCCTTTTCTACCCCGAAACACTTTCTTCCTGGACTCTGGCTAGGACCTCTCTCGCAAAGCAACAAAGGGAGGCTATGTTGATGCGCGGCTGGCTGGCCCTGAGCGTGAAACAAAAGCATGCCATTTAGAATTAGGCCTCTGAGATCACCCAGATGTTGCTGTCTTTTCCAGGGACCGCCTTGCCTTTCAGAACAGAAAACAGGCAAACGATGGGCGGGCAGCCGGCTTTCGGAGAGCTGGAAGGGAGAGGATGGAGCATCTTTCTCCCCTTTTTCTCCCCTTGTTTGTTTCTGATTAAATTGGAAAGTCCATTTTGGTTGGATTCCGAAAGATCTCCTGTATGGAGAATAAGTGCAGGGAAATCGCCCCAGAGGGAGACCATAGCTGCGATACAAGGATATCTGCAAGCGGGATCTAAAGGCCTTAGGAATGGACCTCAACAGATGGGAAACCTTGACCTCTGAGCGTTCAGCCTGGAGGCAGGCGGTGCAGCATGGCCTCTCCCAATTTGACGAGGCCCTTGTCCAGCAGGCCGAGGCAAAGAGGCCATCCTGAAGCCAGCAAAATCGGGGAGCTGGACAGGGGACAGATTGTATTTGTCTCCGGTATGGAAGGGATTATTGTCACTCTCGAATTGGCCTTCTCAGCCACACTGGATGCTGTTCCAAGTCCTCTATTCAGAGCACGTTACCACAGTCTCTCGAGACTGAAGGAGGCCTAATCTTGGCAGGTCCACAGCTCACAAAGAGTTCCACCTTTGCCAAGTTGCTAGAGAAATTCTGGAAGTTTGATGACAAACCAATAAACCATTTCCTAAGATTTCAGACTGCTTATTTGTCGGCAACCCCTTTACAATCAGAGCGGGAAAATATTAGTTCTTTGGACGATAATAATAATTTATTTAAAATACTTTCGCCCCACCTCTCTCCTTAAAAAGGACCCGAGGCAGCTTATTGAAAGACAATATATAAAGCTGAAAATCATGAGCATACAACAGTGGTTTGCATCATGAAAATAAAGTATTTAAAGCTACAAACAATGAGTTTAAAGAGGCAGCTTACCTCATTAAAAGACAATATTAAAGCTAAAACACTAAGTAGGCAAATATTAAAAAGGAAAACAAAAAACAAAATACCATTCTGAGAAATGGTAAACACAAGTTGTATTACCGTAAAGAAGACCCAATCAAAGCAGTAATGCATAAAAATCCATCTAAAAAGGTTATGCTCAGGGAGCCAGTCACTGCAGGAAAGATCACCTGAAGAGAAAGGTCTTGGCCTGCTTGTGGAAAAACAGCAAAGAAGGGGCCAAGCTGGCCTCCAGTGGGAGGGAGTTCCAGAGTCTAAAGGAGCCACCACAGATAGGCTCTCTCTTGTGTCCCAATCAAATGCACCCGGGAAGGTGGTGGGACCAAGAGGAAGGCCTCCCCGATGATCTTAACACCCAAGGTGGCTCATAAAGGGAGGATGGGGTGCTTGAGATAGCTTGGACTCCAAATGCCCATGGCAGCAATACATCCACACACCCACACCTGAAAAGCAGACAAATAATTATCCTCTTTCATCTGAGGAGGCTCTTCTCCCTTTTCCTGCATGACTCGTATCTTCAGGCATGCCTCCTTTTGAACGGAGGCAACCTCAGAGTGGTGTCCCGAAGAATTCTGTTCCCCCAGTCCCGCAAGGGAGGCCATCCCGTCGTCCTACCTATATTCAAGCAAGAGATCGAGGAGAGATCATGCAGAGAAGCAACAGGCAGACTCCTTTTTCATGGGTAAGGCATTTGAGTTGTGACAGCATCGCAACTGAACCGTGAGAGAGAGAGAGAGGCAGAGGAAAGGACAGAGGGATAAAGCGTGAGACAGTGAGAAGCTTCTGGAGAGTTCAAATGTCTCCAGAAAGGACAGAGGGATAAAACGTGAGACAGTAAGAAGCTTCTGGAGAGTTCAAATGTCTCCATCGATGGATGTGGAAGCCTGCTGTGTCTCTGTGCGATGCCCTGTTCTGAGGAGACATCGTGTGGGTGTATTTGTATCCACCACCCACTTCTAAGGATGAGGGGCGCCAAGTTTGTTCCTTGATGTGCCTCTGCATGAACCATAGCGCTAGACTTGCACTCAGCTGAAGCCTTCCTGCAAAAGCCCATGGGCCGCCCCTGTGCTCAGGTTCGGATCAATCATCCTTCTGCAGGTGCCCCTTCCTGGTGGAGACCTGGCAGGTGGTGAGCCGAGAGGGAAGGCTCTCCTTGGCCTCCCTTTTCTGGAAGGTCCTCCTGACAGGAGGTTGTTGCTTCCTTTTTTCGTGCCAGGAGCAAAACAAAGGCTTTCCCCCTTTTCTCAGCACATAAAATACGACACAGGAAACCAAGAGATAAGAGCGGTATAAAACAAATGGTGGGCGTGAGTGGGTAACATGTACTCTAAGCTTCCAAAATTCGATATTTTATGCACTGCTTTTATATTGCTCGTTAACATGATTCTCATGGTAAGTTTAGCTGCTAAGCACCGACAGGGTTGTTGTCTAAAAAATGAGCCGCCCCCAGAGCAAGGAGGCAGAGAGTGAGTCAGTGTGAATGGGGGGAAACTGGGGAGGTCTGCAAAAATGGGGAGAAATCTAATTTCCCCTCCTACCAAGCCAGAATAGCCACTCAAGGAGGACCAAATATATACTTTGTGGCCGCAGGAGAGGAAGTGCGTCGGAGACTCAGCAGCTGGACAGATAGATCAGTGGTTTGTTTTAGAGGTAGAGGGAAAAAATTAAAAAGAAGCAAAAAAAAAAAGACATGGTGGCACTTTTAAGACTAAATCCTCTTCCTTTTTACTTTTTAAAAAATTAATTAAAGAAAAACAATAATAACAATACTAACATAAAAGGTGTGTACATATATACCGTATAAAATATTTCCCCCCCTGTCCCACCATCAACTTTGGGACCAGATAACCAAATATATTCTTTTCATCTTTTTTTCTCCCCATTCCACTCCAAAAATACATTGATTCTTCTGCTGGCTGATGACCTCTCCCTTTTAAAAAACATAATTCAAATGTCCTTTTTCCTAGGAAGCTGGGCTGAGGGTGAAGGCTAGGTATGTTTGCTGAGGTTTTTTTTTCTAGGCTTTCTTTTTGTCTCCTCACCACATGGCCTGGGGG